TTAAGGTGGTGGTGTCCATGTCGTGGAGCCCGCGCAGCACCACTTTCAGCGGCTTGGTGGCCTCGACGTCGTGGGAGAAGTACTCCAGCTTCATCCTGTCCAAGAGGGCCTGGACTGCGTTGTAGTGATTTTCGGCCGAGACCATCAGTTTGTAGCCTTCCGTGCACCGTTGAATGGTGCAGCGAAGGCCCTGCTTAATGTAGAAATCCAGCTGCTCCCATAGCCCGGGAGGGAAGCCCTTCACATAGAAGGGTGGCAACTTAACTTTTTTAGGCACCGTCTCAGGGTCCGACTGCGGCTGGGCTCCGTTCTGCAGGGCGGAGAACGGATTGTTGCTCAGCAGCTTTTTTGCTGCTGATACGGTGGCGCTGCTGTCTTCAGGTCTGGGTCGTTTAGTTCCGGGAGGCCCCGGCTGCGGGTCCGCAACGCCTGTCGGGATGGGCAATGGGGTTTTCTTCTGCTTCTTCTGGGCTGGCTCGGTGGTCGCGCCGTCTCCTGGGAGAGTCTGTTTTCCCGGTAAACCGGCACTCGCGTTACCGCGCGATTTCTTACCCATGGCTGGGTCAGCGAGAGCGTCACTACACAACGCGGAGCTAATTCGACTTGCGAACGAACGAACGAAACTAGAGAGAATTCAAATCGACTGAACTGCTCAACAGTCTGGCAGCGAATGATTGCTGTGTGGTTGATGGAGGCGAGGCATAGCAAACCGTTCTTATTCGAAATTCTTCAAGTAGGAGGGACTTACAATGCTTACCTCGTAAGTCCCTCCTACTTGGATAATTTTGAAATAGAACGACTTGCTATGCCTCGCCTCCATCAGCTAAAAATCTGGGATTTTATGAATTCATAGCATAATTTTCCAAGTAGGATGGACTTTCATAGCTTATCTAAAAGCATGAATGGAGGTACCGTCTGATAATTTCAGTGCTTGGTATAGAAATCTGTAATCTTTGTAGGGAAGTCCTTTTTTTCACCACAAAACCCCACGTTTTCTTATGCAAAATAATAGAGAATCAAATGGAGGGATTTCAAGCTAAAATGTATGTTCCTATCGCGAGATATTCACGATTAATACCGAAATTTCACAAAAATGTCCAACCCGTTTTGTGTTTGTATGTGCTGCTGATTTTCACTGTTGCCCAATTTATTTATTTCGTCAACCAACGTAGACTAGTACAACTAATACAGTTTTGTTTTCTTAAATATATATTTATATAAAAAAAAGTAGTGTCAGCTTTCTTGTCTTTTCTTTTATAAGTTGTTATTTCTTATGGAATAAAAATATTGCTTTAGTTTATGCCAAGACATTGTTAAGTCAATGGTTTCGCAGTGTTTATTGTAAGAGGCCATCATGCGGTTTAATGGCCCATATTTTGCATAATTTGTGCGATGATGTTTTATGGCAAATAAATTTCGATTTCGGAGTTGCCGAGTGGGTGCATGGAAATTTAATTTTGATAAAAGTTCTGTTGAGTCAATTCGCTGCGAAACGATATCATTTACAAATGAAACCATTGCATATTCACGACGCTCTTTTAATGTTTGTATGTTTATAAGCATGCAGCGTGCTTCATATGATGGAAGAGGAAATGAAGTCCAACCTAATTTACGAAGAGCGTATAATAGAAATTGTTTTTGTACTGATTCTAATCTTTCTTCGTGCGTGATTGAAAATGGAGACCATACAATGCTGCAATATTCCAGTATTGACCTCACATAGGCAATATATAGTGTTTTAATTGTGTAAGGGTCCTGAAAGTTATAGCAAAAGCGCTTGATAAAGCCTAGCATGATATTTGCCCTGTGAATAATTGTATTGTAATGGTCTATGCAATTGAAATTGAAATTTCATAAATAACGTAGTTGAGGGGGGAGAGGGGTTTCAGCAGTTGTGACCGGCCATGTATTAGGTATAGCAAAACACGCTACGAGGAGGAAGGGGGGTTAATTGGTCAAACAAATTCTACGTAATTTATGGATGGTCCCTAATTCCATTCCAAGACTGTGTCCCAATGGACGAGTTAAATTTAACTCGGGGTTAAAAGTGACAGATGAGTTATCAAATAACCATGCTATCCGAGCGTGGTCATTTCTGACCGACTAGAAGTTAAATTCTGGCAACCGTGACTGAGTTCTGTTTGAAAACCGATCAATTTCCGGGTTTTTCGAACATTGAAAATAGCTTTCGTAATGTCACGTTTAACCACGAGTTAAATTTAACTCGACAATTGCGACACAGCCCAAGAAGTATTTCTCGATTACTTTTTCGAAGGGACGTATCAGCTTTTGTAAACAACGCATTTGATCGTCGATTTGGCGTAGCTGGTAGCTCACCCGCGCATGCTAACACTACCATCAGATAAGGCCCACGCACATTAGATCCGGATCTAATCTAAATCTATTGTCCAACTGTCAAATTTACGTCAACGCAACGCAAACGGATCTAATGTGGGTGGCCCTATAGAGGCACTGCCAGCAGCCAGTGATCTCTACGGGAACGACGCGCAAGGTTCGAGATGCAAATCTCAAACGCTGCGCGCTTGACAGGAACCGCTGCTTCTACTGTTACTGCTACCTGTTCACCCGCCGAAGCGAAAATGAATTGAAATTGTGCAACCAAATGACACTTGAATATGACGACTGGGTTTGGGGAGAACGTTTATTTCATGAAAATAGTGATAAAATTATCACTTTTTATTTGTACATTTTTCAACAGTTTTTATGGAAAATTGAAATAAAAAACCGTTTCTTGTAACAGATTACGAGAGTTATTTCCTGTCGATTGGTGTATTTGGATTTTAATTTCATCTATAAATTACAAAGTTATAAGCGTTCAAAACCTTACACTTCTTCGTGACGGTTGCAATTTTAGATTTTCGATTTACCCCCAGTACCTTCCCGTAAGACGTAGTCTACGTCAAAAGTATTTTTAATTACCTTTTATTTGATATTTTGATCTTTAAAATCGGCCCAGTGGTTCAAGTTATGATTAAAAAAAAGTAATTTAAAAAAAAATCAATATTTTTACCATTCTAACATGGAAATGTTAGTGTCACCCTTATAGCAAAATTCTAAGAAATACGGGTCTAATATTTTGCGATAAGGAACAAAACTTTCAATTTTCACGAAATTCTGAGAACCACTATATCGGTTTTGCTGTGGAATGGCTGTTTTAAGGTTGCCTCAGTTTTCAGCTAATTTTAAAGTGTAGAAGAAATACTTTTTATCAGCACTGCAAAGTGGGGCCAGGAATGAAATCCAGCAGGAAGCAAATAACGCTCTGTGATTGCATCCAATTGAGACTCTATGAGTCTCCTCTCATCGTTGCCCACCAAACCCTTGTCACAATGCACAATGCTATAAATGCAACAACTCTCTGATGAGACACTGCCCGAGCAAAGTCTGAGATCAAATCGAAAACTAAATTTGATGTTATGATGTCGCTGACAACAATTACTCAGGCTGCTGTCGTTTTGGTCGATTTAACGGTTAAAATATCAAAATTGAGAGCAAAATAATTTTTCTGTGACATCACATTGAAAATTAATTCTGCTATCAGTGAGAGCAAACTAAAAACTCAATTTGATGTACATTTTTTCTGATAACAAATCGAGTATTCAATTTGATATTCTGATAAAGCAATGAAAACAAAACCGCAACAACATATTTTTGAAGAGCAAATGAAAACAAAATTTGTTATAAAATTTGTCAATTGCGTAAACTGAATTCAAATTATGATTTCAGTTTGATGTTGATATCAAAATTTGATTTCGATTTGCTTTCATTTTGATGCTGGACTTTGCTCGAGTGATACACCATTTCCATGCTCAAACATGTTACCCTTTCTAACCTCGAGTCAACCGCGAGTAATTGGTCCACCCTTACTAGACGTAGTATTAAGTTATTCTTGTTAAACATCAAACAACGATATATCGGCCCCGTAAAGCTAACGCGATTGAGCCTTCCAAATAAATGAATTGAAATAAAAAACAAATTATTTCTGACATACATGTGCTCTCAATTAGGGATCATCCACAAATAATGTAAGGGCTTTTGAGTGATTATTAGAGCCCCTCCCCCTTTGTAAGTCATTGGATGATTGTAAGTTACCCCTTCCTAAAATCTTAGTAAGATTTCAAAACTTACAGAAAATCGTTAAATATTGAGTGGGAAACATTTTTATTCATATTGAACACTTTATCATATGCTCTTTTTATACCTAGTTGGTATAAAAGGTTGGTTGTCATAAAAACGCTTAAGTTATTATTATTTGATTCTAGCTATTAAATATTACGTAAGAAAAAGTTAACCGCCTCTCCCCCCCCCCCTTGTTAGAATTGGTAATAAATATTATCCCCCTCCCCTATTTCTTTCCATATTTTTTGGGTTACCCCTTACCAAATACTCCATCACCTTCACCTTCACCTGCAAAGAAAACTATTCAATAAAACAAAAACAAAAAAAAAACGGAAAACCACAGCTCAGCAGATCAGATGTGTTAGTAAAGCAAAACAGAGGGAGAGTTTTATTCACAAATTTATGTCGTTAGTTCACAGTGATCACAGCCTCAACAACAACACCATCATCATTGTCTTTTTCACGACTTGCATTCGTTTCGACGACGATCGTTCCGGGTTTTGTTGCGTTGCTATCGTTTTTATCTTAACAAGCAGCGAATCACAGCGAGCGACACCCAGAGGCAACTGATTTGTATTAATCTGTCTAGAGAACGTGTACGTGTTTCAGTGTATGTACAAAACTAGTGTGTTACCCGACTTCCAAAAAACCGATAAAAAACTCCAACTCCACAAGAAAACCGCATCAGTGCAGGGTGCATGTTTCGACAACAGAAGGATGTTCCGTGATAAAAGGGGGGTACGGGAGTCTCGAGTTCGCGAACAGGACGAGACCGAGTAGAGAGAGAGAGATAGGGAGAGAGAAAGGGGACAGTGAGAGGCGCAAAGAGCGTGATGCTGAGTAAGGCTGAAGCTACTTACGGCTTGCTGTTGATGCTGCTGCATCTGATGGACAATGTTGGGTCTTTGCGACAGGGGGAATGCTGCGGCCATACTGTCCCGCACGGGGGTACAGGTCGTGATCAAGGGATAGCTCATCAGTGTGTTAATACTGTTCGGTGGCGGTCGATTATCTGGGCTGTTGACCCGACTGTTGTTGTTGTTATTGCAGTTATTGCCGAACGATGCTGCAATGTTGTCATTGTTTAGGATCAGGTTCTGGTTGACTTCCATCATGCCAGGCTGCCGGGGTGGTAACGGTGGAGGTTCCGCTTGCAGCTCTCCACCTCCACCGCGTTCGGTACCATGATGGTACATTGCCGAGGTCTGTTCAGCCTTCGTCTCCGCCAAGTTTCCGTTCTTCTTTCGCTTGGATTTGCCACTTTTCCCGCTGGAAGTGACATTGTTATTATTGTTGACACTTTTCCCAGTCCCACTGCCGGGGGCGCCTAGCACGGAATGGTCCAAATCAGATACCACGATGTTCCTTCGGGATCCAACGGTGTCGACCGAATCCATCGACGAATCCGACCGTTTTGGAATGTTTCTCTGCGGCAGCGGAGGTGGAGTGTCCGGTTGGCCTTTGTGGCTACGATCCGACACACTACTGCTGCTGTACTTTTTCTTGGTGGGAGTTCCGGCGCTTGCTCCGGAGGTCAACCCATGCCCAAAAAGGCCATGGTTTGCGTGAGACCCAGGACTGGTAGGACTCATGCATTCCGGAGTTCCCGCGAAGGGGTGATGACCACCTCCGGACAAGGTTGGCGAGCCAATGTGGATGTGGCCGGTGTCTTTATCAATGGATTTCTTTTTCGTTCCAAGACTCAGAGAAGACAGTGATCGAGGGAAGCGGGATAGGAATGCCGGGGTGGAAGTGTTCTGTGGCTGGGGCTGCGGAAAGAGTGGTGAAGTGGCGGATGAAAATGGCGGAAATGAGGTATCCTGTAATTAAAAAAGAGAGAAGAAGAAGACAAACGACACGTGTGGTGGGAGTGAGGTGTGTATGTTTTGTATAAGTTGGGTTAAAGTTTGTTTGGCGACAGCCTCGCAGAGGTTAACGGTGATGAATGTACTTCCGGTGAAAGTACGCACGCATGATTGAGCTTATATAGGCGAAGAAGGTAGTTCGAAGTTGCAGAAAAGTGGAGAAATTGATCTTATTGGTGCGTGGATTACTTGTTTTTGCGGTGCTTTTAGAGGTTATGCTAGTCTGTGAAGAGATGTATAATTGGCGGTGAGAGCAGAAAAGTAATTTGGAAAAGTTACCACTTGATTAAAAAAGGTTATTGGAACAGTAAAACATAAACAACCTTAAAAATCCAAAGTTGCTCACATTTAGCGTCAAATGGTCTATTTTGATAGGAAACCTAATCTTCAATATACATTTTATAGAAAAATTCTTTGAGATAAATATGAATACCAAGACAAACCGATCAATAGCAAATACAACTAGGAAGGTCAGTGAAATACAATAAACCGAGTATATACTGAACTAGCAACACCAACCATAACTTCCTTCAAAGAAACAAAGAAGTAACAATAGTCAAACACTAATAAATATAATGCGATATGAACGAACTAGCACAAACAGCAAGACTATACTTAAGGTATCACAAGACAAGATATACCTATGATATGAATAGGGTAAGAAAAAAGTCATAAATATAACAATGATAATAGAACAAATATAGCAAAAAAAATCACACGAGCATTCATCTTTGAGGTCTACATAAAATTTTACATATCAAGGAATCGAGAGAGCTAACGATTTCACGAATACACCCACACACGCACATTCCTAGAACGAACATTCCTGGGGGTAACAGTAAACCGGCACGGGAGCAGATTGATCCGATGGGAATGATTACGAACGATGAAAAGCTCGCGACTTTCGATGCACAAATGTTGAAGGTTAAGGCACAAGGTACAATGGAATGATTAACTTTAACATTTAATGTTGTTACGCAGCAACCAGCGGTATTAATCGGTAAGCGACCTGGATGCCTCCTTCATGTTTTAGTGACTGACTGTGTGCAATGAGGTACGATTTGTTGCTGTGTTAGGAAGATCGTGAGCAGTTGCAGAATGTTGGTGTTCGGTGGACGAAAGGTCGAAATGGACAAATTATCAAACGGGTAGAAGGTCCTATTTTGCAGCAGCAAGATTCGAGTTCCGAAAGCTGCCGAGGCTCTGCACTCACGAGCTCTGAAAGCTTTCGGAATTCAGGGTGTTCTAACAGGTGTGGGATTTTCTTAAAAAAAATCAATATTCCGGGAGTTTTACAATTATTGTCAATCTTTCGTTGATGGGTCGATAAAAATTATAAACTCACACAACACATCATGGGCATTTTTCATGCTACTTTAAAATAAAATAAATGGATTAAGGATCCCATAAATTTGTTCTCCAAAAATCAGTACCCGTTCGATTTGGACACGGTTAGACTGATGTAACATTGAAATATTCGAAACATATCCACAATTAATGGAGCAACCAGAGAGAGGCAGTGAACCATCAGTTTACCTTCCAATTAGTGTTTACTACAAGGGTCTTCCCAATAAACTATTCCTGAGAAATCAACCATAAGTAAAATTTCCTGATTCTTGGGAATTCGATTCAGATTACCGGGAAATACCTATTTTTCACAAAACTAATTCCAAGTATAAAATTCTAAAACAATTTAATTCACACCCAATGGGAAAACATTTCCGGAAAAGTTGTATAAAATTTCCACGGGAATATGAAATAACATTCCCGGATAAGTCTGAAAAAACTTTTAAAGAAAGAAGGTAATTCTAGCAGAAAGTAATTGTTCTTTTGGGGGAAGTCGGAAGAAACTTTCGGGGAAAGTAAAAAAAATCCAAGGAAAACCTGGAAGAACTTCCAGAAACAGTTGGAATAACTTTTTGGGGGATTTGGAGGACTGTCCCAGAAGAAGTCGTAAGAATCTTCCTAGGGAAGTTGGAAGACAGTTACATGGAAAGCTAGAAGGAACCTCCTGATATAGTTTAAGCAGGGTGACCAGTGAATTTTCATTTTAAAATTCCCGGTTTTTTCCCGGTTCAAATCTCAAAATATTCCCAGATTTTAATATTTGGTAAAAAATAATGATTGCAATAGCACGTTATTTTCGAGGATCTTAGAATCAATTTGTATAACTGTTTTTAGGACTCGAGTCCTCTTAAGATTGTAAAACGCCAGAATTTACAAAGTACCAGAATTATGGATTTTTTAAGGTCACATAGCCGAATGCTATCGGGCTGAATGGGCATTATACAAAATTTGAGGGAGAGAGAGAGATAAAATTAAGAAATTGTTTTAAAAATCTTCTGCTCGGTACGGCGCAAGACATTTTTGTAAAGTATCGTGATTTGTACGAATATAAATCTGAAAAAAGAATGTAATCTTAAGAACAATTTTAATTTCTAAGATTCTGAGGCTTTGACCTGTTTTTAAAGTCTTAGAATATGCATTTTTTTTTTAGAAATTTGTGAATTATAAAAATCTATTCTACATTAAGAAGAAATAAAACAGGATTGGATTGTTTTCCAACAATATGAATCTGAGAAAAATACTCAAAATGTGGAATGTTGAAAAATGTTTCTAAGTCCTTTTTTTTTCCTTTATTATAGAGATTTTTAGCCATAGGCTAGTTCATCTCTTAGTTTTTGTTTCTAAGTCCCTGATTTAGACATTTTTCGAGATTCCAGATTTGGAAAAATAAAGTCCCTGGAAAATTTTGTTCGCTTCGAAAAATGTTCAGGGTTAATTTGAAGATTTTTTATAGAATTTTGAAAATTCAAAATTCTGAGAAAAACTTGAAGAAAAATTCAACGGAGCTCTGACAAGAATCCGAAAATAATTTTAGTCCTGACGAACTCTCAGAAGAATTACAAGGGAGTTGTGAGGAGAGCTTCAAGGAGAGTTCCTAGTTGATTCTGAAGAGAATTATGTGCGGATTGTGAGGAGAATTTTAAGGAAAATTTAAAAAGAAATATAAACAGAATTTAAAGGGTTTTCTGATAATAATTTCAAAGGAATATCGAGGAAGATTCACAAGAGAACTTTAAGCAAGACTTGAGAAAAATGCCGAAGGAATCGTGTTCTGATGTAGTTAAAGAAAAATGCTGCAGAATTTAAATTACATTCTTAAGAAAGTTTCAAGAAAATTCAGCACAGAATTCTAAGGTATTGTGAGGAGAATTCCAAATTATTTCTGCGAGGAGAGTTTTGCGAAAGGTCAAATAATTTCAAATGTTAAAGATGATTAAGAACTGAATAAACCATTTTTGAGCTGAAGAAACATATGTTTGCTTGATTAAACTCAAGCTGTTATTCAACTTTCAATTTTTGTTTCAATATGTTAAAGTTTATTTATTTTTTCCGGTTCGCCCGTCGAATTCCCGGTTTTTCCCGGTTTTCCTAGCTTCTTTTCAAATTCCCGGTTATTTCCCGGTTTTCCCGGTTCGCTGGCCACCCTGATTAAAGGTTACACTCTAAAAAATCTTCACGTCTGATTTACGTGAAATATCACGTACCTGATCTGTATTTAGAGAATCTCAAATGTTACGTGCCGTTAGTACCTTTGACCTGCTTTACACTTCATGTCCACTAAAAATATTGGTTTAATTGACCGTATATTCACGTAAACAGATTTAGTGTATTTGTGTTTATGTGTTTGGACCTTCGATATTTCCGTGAAACGAGATTTACGTGATTTTCAGGTACAGAACTCATCAAAGATTCAAAATTGCTCAGCGCTTGCTGCAAATGTTGGTAATTAGATTCTTTTACATTAATTTATTTATGATTATATGTAGCCTTTTTCTAGTTTTATGATTTCAGACGGTGACATCAGCATTTTGAGTCTGCAAACAGGTGTTAATATTTTGTCAGAAAAAAATACTCATACACGTGTCTACCATATAATAATCAATTAGTCAATATTTAACAATTTTATGAGTAGATATAAGTATTAATTTAAACACGTGAAAGTTATATCTTTTCGATAAAATTGCATAATATTGACTGCTTCTATATACACTTCCAATTATACTCATTAAAAATTCACGTACAAATTACATGAAAAGCATATTAAACAAAACGGAACGTCACGGAAAAGTCACCAGATGTCCAGTAGTTTTCACTCCGATTTCACGTAAGCAGTACGTGAAAATCAGGTCTTATTTACCTGACTAATCACGTAGATAATTGAAACTGAATTTTTATCGGCTACGTGCAATTCCGGTAAAAGTTACGTGAAAAATAGGGCGAACGAAAACCACCTATATTTTCACGTTAATGGGACGTGAAGATTTTTCAGAGTGTACTTAAGTAGAAATTCGAAAGAATCTTCCAGTATAAGCCAGAAAGGTTTTGGGGCAGTTAGACGAAACTTCTAGGAGGAACAAACATAATTTTCTGGAAGGGTGTCAGAAGACAAACATCGCCTGGCGATACCTGCAAGAGTTCTGATAATTGTTAAAAGAAGCTTTCAGTAGAAATCGTCCAGAAACAAATTTTAGAATACTTGGGGGAGTCAAAAGAAAACACCAAGAGAAAACGGAAGATGCCTGGTGAAGTCAAAAAACATTCGAATGTAGACGATTAATATTTCCAGGGGAAACCAAAAAAATATGAGATCAATTGAAAAGGAGATTTTTGACAGCAATTAAAAAAAAAAATCTTTCAATAGTAGTTGAAAGAAGTTTTCGGGTAAAATAGGAGAAATTTCCAAGCAATGTCAAAGTAAACTTCGAAGAGGAAATAAAATAAAAAAACTCCCTGGAAACCGGAGAAAAAGTATTTTCCAATTCCCGGGATGTCCAGAGAAAAACAATTTCGTTTAGGCCACCAATGATCAAGATTTTAAGAATGATGAAGTAAAGTGTATCGTTCAAAATATGTTGGCTCCATAAACAAGTTGATTTTAGATTTAGTTGGATAGTGCTTTCTGGACATTTTTTAATAAAATATCACATAAGCGTTCAAATCAAATAAGCGTTCGATACATTTTATAGAATGCAAAAAAGATAGAAAACGCGTCTTGCCAAAAACGAGGGGCCTCCCTTAGCTCAGTCGGTTAAAGCGCAGCTACAGAGCAAGACCATGCTGGAGGTGGCTGGATTTGATTCCCGGTTCGGTCTAGAAATTTTTCGGGTTGGAAAGTTTCTTGACTTCCCTGGGCATAGAGTATGATTGTACTTGCCACACAATTATATTAATGCAAAAATGGGATTTCAAACATGAAAAATAATTTGATTTATTTTTTAAATAAGGAATTGAGAAAAATACTCAAATTGTGGAACATTTAAAAATTTACATAATCACAGATATAAAAAAAAAATATTTTGGTCCTGTAAAGTTTTCAAGGCTCTGCAAATTGGAAGAAGGTTCAGGGCTCCATGGATTGAAAAAAAAACATACCATTCTGAGGATAATCCCTATGGATTTTTAGGAGAATTTAAAAAGCATTAAAGTGTTAATTCTGAAGAAATACTTAGAAGAAAACACTACACTACAAAATTCTGATAAACATCCTAAGAAAATTCTGATCAGAAACGAAATAATTCTGAAATAATGTCCTTAGGAATTCTGAGATGAATTCCATGGAATGTATGGGGAGAAGAATTAAATTGCTGAATTGAATTCCTAGATAATTCTTAAAATAATTCCATAGGAGTTGTGAAAAAAAGATCAAGGAGAATTTTTAGATGATTCTGAGTTGAATTTAATGGGGATCATGACGAGATTAGCAAGTGAATTTAAAAAAAAAATAATTTCGTAGATAATTATTAGGTGTCCTGAAGATAATTTCAAAAGAAATAGACTGCTGGATTCCTGAAGAGAGTTTTCTAGTCTTATCTATTCTAGTCTATGTTACAATACTGTGATTTCCGAGGAAAGTTTCGATTAATATTTTGAGAATACACTGGAGTCGCTTTTTACGCGGTTTTTTTTTACACGGTTTTTTTTTACGTGGTTTTTTTTTACGCGGATTCCGGAATTTACGCGGTTTTTTTTTTACGCGGATTCCGGAATTTACGCGGTTTTTTTTACGCGGTTTTCAGAATTTACGCGGTATATCGCTTTTTACGCGGTTTTTTCTTACACGGTCTTTTTTTACTCGGTTTTTTTTTACGCGGATTTCGGAATTTACGCGGTTTTTTTTTTACGCGGATTCCGGAATTTACGCGGTTTTTTTTTACGCGGTTTTTTTTTACGCGGGACGTATCACCCGCGTAAAAAGCGACTCCAGTGTATTAACAAAGTAATTTGTCTCGCAGGATGATACTAAAGGAATTCTATGGATTCCGAGGAAATTCTAAGAGGAGTTTCAAGGGAATTTCAAATAGAATTCCAAGGTACGACAAGAATTCTAATGGTATTTTCTTGTGAGTTTTTAGGAGAATCCCATCATTATTTTAACCAGAATTGCAAGGTAATTATAAAAAAAACAAAATTGTATGTTGATTTTAAGTAGGTTACCAGTTAGAATAAACTTGTTCATTCATAAACAATAAAAAAACTTATAATTGGCCATATATTAAGGTTTATTGGTTTTTCCCTGTTCTCCCGTCGAATTTCAGTTTTTCCCGGTTACTTTTAGAATTCCCGATTATTTCCCGTATTTCCAGGTTTTCCGGGTTCGCTGGCCATCCTGGATACATCAGTAATATTTAGAAACTTACTGATTTGTTACAAGTTCTCAACATCAGCTAGCTTAACTTTGACATAAAGTTATGTTAACTGGTATAATACCAAACCTGCAAAGCGAATGTCGATGCTGTTAAACAGCACGCCTGTCCCGTTGCTGTGAAGCGAGCTTGATCGTGACAGATTTGCAGATTTCAATTGCAATATTGTATTTACAGATTTCAATTGCAATGTAAAAGTTTAAATTGTAAGCATCTAAATGATTCTGTAGCCGGCGCCGGTGGTGTAGTGGTAAGCGTGACTGCTTTCTAACACCCCGATGGGTCTGGGTTCTATCCCAGCCGAGGTCGGTGGGATTTTTCTGAGGCATAAAAATCTCTGGTCACGTCTTCCTTCGGAAGGGAAGTAAAGCCGTTGGTCCCAGCCCATGTGTGTTGAATGGGTGCGATATCCTACGCAGGTGTGGAAGCTGCCTTCCTGCACATTCGATTGCTGTCAATGGATGGCAATCGATGTCCGTCGGTGATTGGCATTAGATTGCGGAACAGAGACCGACGTTAAATAAAAAGGAAAGGAAAGAATAAATGATTCTGTACTGGTAATCATACTTCAAAATATTTTGCTATTATTTAATAATGGAAAATTGGATAAAACTGGATGAATTCTCAAAAACCTGGATGATTTCAAGCTTCGATTGTTTGACTGGATGCGTAAAAAAAACTGGAAGAATTTAAAAATGTTTAAACAAGATCGCTAACATCACTGCTCTGTACATCATCATACATGATAAAAAGAAAATCATGATAATTTTTCAAAAAAAAAATCAATTCCGCAATTTTTGTGATCAGTCCCTTCGCGATTTTCACGACATCATTTAATGTTTCCGCGATTTTTATGACTGAAGCTCAAATCCGCGAAAATTGCAGTATTCGCAAGATCCACACCTATTGCATAAAAGCCCTGCAAGTGAGAGGTCGCTACCTATTCTATGGAAACTCCATAAAATTCTCACGAGAGTTGATGGAGCCTTTCCTGTTTCCTGTCCCTAATTAGTATCGCAAAATTGATTAGGAATTCCTATTCTGATCGTTCAGTTTATTTGGTTGAAGAACAAAAGCGATAGCAGGACCGCGCTGTTCGGAGGATTCCTGAAGGTGTTTCCAGAGGTCACCATCAGTGTTGGGAAAATATCAAATGATCAAATCTCACCAATAAGAATAATCTCATTTGAGTGTCGTAAACAAAAATCAACAAGCAGACAATATCGGATGATATTAAAAGCTGTGATACGGTTGCTCTGATTTCATGCTAACAAAAAGGACTCACCAAACTGTGGTGAGTTTGAGCTTCAAGATTTTTGATGTACACCCGAACACGAACCGAAACTTCCATCACTGCTGGTAGCAGTAACTTCGTGTCTGTCATCTGTGAAGAGTAAAGAGAGATAGCAAGCTATGCTTTCTCTTTATAAGAATACGATGTGCTACGGAATCATTGTGGTGGTAAGTCAACTCGTAGCTACAATTTTACATGTTCTGAATTGTCTCGCAATATCAAAGGAGCTTGTTAAATCAATATCATGCTTGATATTTTATTCCAGTATCTCGCGTGATATTGGGAGCCCTTGAGAGCGAAACAAAATCATTTGAGTGAGGATTATGCCATCACTGGTCACCATAAGACGATACTACCACCATTCGATTCCCCAGATATTTTTAGCACCAAGTTCAATCTCTGCATGATCATGGTTTTCTTCCAAAATGAGGGCAAAATGAGCCACTTCCTGAAGTCAACCCTAAACGAGACAATCGCCATTCGATTCTTCTAATTTTAGCACATCAGATGAGCTATGTTCAGTGGCGTCGCGTAGCCTCACTTTTAACCAGTTCAACTACTTTGAAAACGTTATTTAGGGTAATGTTTACATTCAAATCCATTTCAAAAGGCTCAGGGTCTTCTAGTTTCACAGGTTTGTATTCATTGGAACCAATATTGTTTTATTTGTTTACGTTTTAAGAGTTATTGAACAGGTAGATTGAGGTTAGGGTGACGCCACTGACTATGTTACAAGACTCCTGCGTCATCTGTTTTCCCCATTGTGCGCGGCTTAAGATTTTGATAATCAACTGTAGCTCTATGGAACTCTAGGAATCCTTGGGTTGTACAGAAGATCGGAATGTTTTCTGGTAAAGTATACTGAACTTTATGGAGTAGCTCAGCGAACCTTATCTTAGGAACTACGTGTTGCTAACTATGTAGCTACATATAGATTTCAAGCGAAGTTCAGGTTAGACTTTCAGGGTAAATTTGAGAGATCACCTTAGAGCAGTTCAGTTGTTTTGGAAAAGTTTAGGAATCTTTCTGGGTTACTTGAGGTGAATTGCTGTGGAAACCTTATTTATGATTGATCGGACTTATAAGAGCACAAATATCGACTCTCACAGAACATACAACAATGAAACTGGAACTCCGCGTTTTCTGCAGTACAGCAAACAAGGAGTTTCAATTTCATGAGCGCTGTTGCAATAATGTTGTTCTCTGGGAAACTTGAAGTGATGGGGCATATCAGCCATCATGACGACCATCTGTCGACACTGCAGGGAATCACCTTAACTGAATGAAATTTCCCTCGGCAACGTGATGAAAATTTGCTATACAATTAAAAGGATGATTAACTCATAATTTGAGTAAATGAATGACCGCAGCAACGCAGCTGTCCGAACGTATCCGCCATTTTTGTCCATTCGACCTTTTGTCCTGTGTTCCTCAATTTAAATAATCTGTTCAACGATGCGCATTCAGCATCTGCTATTTAGACAGCGGCTTGCGGTGGTAGGTGGTTCCAGCGAAATTGCTGGCAAATCATCCTTGTTTTGGTTCTCAGAGTGCAAGTTTACGCGCGCGAGAGCGTGATGCGATCAGTTCACACAAGAATAAACATTCGTCAATCTGATGGTTACGGATTTTCACGAGATTCAGAGGGGACACCGGAGGAGAGGGGGGCGAACCGAAATAAACAGCAAAACCTACACGGCTTATTTTCGCAAACCCACACCGGTCACGTTCACACATTCCGCGTTCGATGATATCATATTGCGGGCCGGAATCTTTCGTCGGGCATTCGTAGAAATAATAAAAAAACGACGCAACTAAGGCAGATCCTCTAGAAGAGGATCCTAGACAAACACAGACAATAATGGGCATGCTGATTTACCTCTCCGCCCACCTGGGTCAGTTCATCCTGGAGCTTCTTGATGGTGGCTTCCGTCCGGATAATCTCCGGCGTACGCTGCTTATTGCTGGCGTACAGATTTTCCAGATTCTTCTTCTCCTGCTCCAGCATCAGTCGGAGGGTCCGCATCTTCTGAACTTCCATCTCCCGCTGCTTGGCGAACTAAAATCAAATTGAATGGTTATGAAAAGGGTGTTTTGGATTGGTGGCGTGGGTAACACATTATTATAAAGAGCTTTGAAGCTGTCACGCATATGATGTTTTTACTTACATTAACGGGCACCGGGGCGGTGATGGAGTTCCGCTGCGCAACTGGCGTCGTCGGCGTGATGGATGTGGTCGAAGGCGATGGCCGCTGCATTCTGTTGTTGCTTCGTTGCACCGTCAGTTCAACAATGTCGGAAGCTGTGTCCCATGCGCGTCAGCGTGGAATGTGGGTGATGGAAAGGGAAAGTAGACAAGAGAGAGAGAAAATATATGTGAGTAATCAAGTTATACGTTGGGACGTGTTTGTTTCTATTTGTTTCGATGCATAACGTAGTATATCTGGGTATCATTTCACCGATCGCTCAGTTGCTTAGTTCATAGCTAACATAAAATGTTAATTTGTTGGCGTATTTATGCTTTGGAAATTGTAATATTATGACTGATAAAAGCATATCAGTCCGAACAGCAAGCCGAAAAAATGCTGTTGAGAATGTATTTGTCCCTAGGCTCTTATGGATGGGACAACCTAGTTTTGATAAAATTCACGATATTTCCTGACCAAAACGTGTTACTTTAAATGTACAGTCTGAAATGCCGGTAATTTTCAATTGATTCTAATGGGTAACTAATTTCTTACAAACAGCCATATGGGACTGTCATGCTTTTATGGGCAATATATCCATTGAAAAAAAAAAAATCAAAATCAATGATTACTGCACGACCCACTGAACAGAACTCTTAGTTAGGGGAAATATCGCCTTCGGTACTTCTTTACCTATTATCGTCAGGGGGTAAATGAAGTCTTAGAGTGTTTTTTTTTTGGCAAAACGATGCTCTGGAATATGCTGCACCTTCATGCAAAAAATTAGCGCTCAAGCCATAATTTTCCCTACATAAAGATGGGATAAGCACTTACTTAAGATCACAATATTTGTCGAAGAATTATTAATTAATGTTTCTAAACACAGATATATTGCAAAGATATTTTATGAAAAGGCAACTATTCATAAAATTTTACTTTCTACAACTTTACCGAAGACAGAAAACATCTATCTTCCGAAATAAAAAGGTTTGTATGGCAGCGCCATCTTTTTTTATTGGGTATCAAGCTGAAGCTGCGTGACAACTTTGTTTTGAAGACTTGGCCCATTTGAATAAATCTTGCATCTATCTTTAACAATGCAACAGAAGGACTAGCCTATGTAGTTGAAGATTTTGCCCTGTATCCTTAATACACAGATGTGGTTGCTTACCGGTCTCCACCGCATAACACACTACATTTGCTTTTCGATCACTATGAACCTTACTCCATTCGCCACCGCTGTGGTAGATATGATATTTGAAGGAAGTGTTGGCGATGGAATCCACCGTTCGGAATTGACGTTCTCCAGATCTAGGCCACCGTACTTTCTGAATAGCAGCTACGCTCACATTCACATTTCACAGTTCACGAGCCACGAGACAGAGAGCCTACATACAGTAACCAATGATAACGGCCTGAAACTAATAAACTTCGCTGATGCTAGAGGAATGGCCATCAGTACCACGTACTTTGCACGCAAGAATATCCAGCACACCTGGAGACATTTAAATGGCCGCCACTTCTCAGATGTTATCGATGTAAGGACTTTCAGGGGGCCTAACATTGATTCAGATCATTATCTTGTTGTCTGTCGACCGTTACGAATTCAACGAACCGGAGATCGATGCGCTTCAATATCCATCGCTTGTCAGCAGAATGTGTTGCTGCTGAGTATCGCGAGAAGCTTGATGAGCGGATCAGCGAAATCAACGTGAACGAGGACCTCAACAATCTGTGGAACACAATCCACGGAGTGTTGAACACAACAGAACAAGAAGAAACGACAAACGAACCCACCACAAAAAGAAAAGGCAATACGAAGAACGCGTGATTGCTGAGGCACAAAAAAGTATTGAGCAGAACGATATGCGAAGGTTCTACACGATTGTCAATGGTGTTCGGAGTAAAACAGCGCCATCTCCCGCCATGTACAATGACCTTGAAGGGAATTTGCTGACACATAAAAAAAAGATGGTGGTTGACAGGTTGAAGGAACACTTTGAGACATTGTTGAATAGAGAGAGTGAAGGAGTATCAAAAAACAGAATAAACATCGCAGGCGACGTTCAAGCTGGGGAGCCTCGAACGCTAGACGAAATTAAAAATGCAATACGTGAGCTGACAAACAATAAGTCTGCTGGGAAGGACGAGCTCCCGGCCGAACTTTTCAAACACGGAAGTGAGCAGCTGCATCAAGCAATCCACCGTATTCTAATGAAGAGATGGGAAGACGAAGAACTGCCTGCTAGCTGGTTGAATAGTCTCATTTGCCCATTATTCAAAAAAGGGCACAGACTAGAGTGCGCCAATTATCGACGAATAACTCTTCTGAATTCGGTGTACAAAATACTGTCACGCGTTCTGTTTAACATATTGAGACCGCTTGAGGCGTACTTCATTGGCTAATATCAGGCTGGTTTTCGTGAGAGCCGATCAACGACCCTCACGACCCAACAAATGTTTACCCTGCGTCAAATCCTTGATAAATTCCGGGAGTACAACTTGCAGACTCACCATCTGTTTATTGATTTCAAAGCAGCGTACGATTCAGTGAAGAGAAATGAGCTTTGGCAGATTAGGCTAGAATATGGCTTTCCGGCAAAACTGATCAGACTGATTCGCGCAACGCTGAATGAATCGAAATCAAGTGTACGGGTTGCAGATGAGATTTCGACCTCGTTCGTGACCTTAGATGGATTGAAGCAGGACGATGCACTTTCAAACTTAAATACTATTCAACATTGATCTTGAAGGAGCGATTAGGAAAGCTGGTGTGCAGAGGAACGGTGCCATCATCACACGATCACACATGCTCCTTGCCTTTGCGGAAGCCATCGATATCATCGGAATTGACCGTATAGCAGTGGAAGAGGCCTTTGTGCCTTTTAAGAAGGAGATGGCGCGGATTGGGCTCACGATAAGTTCTATCAAAACGAAGTACATGATAGCCGGTAGACAGCGTGCTAGCAATAGTGGTTTTGGTATAGTGAAGTAGTGTTGGATGATGAACAATTTTAGGTAGTGGGAGAATTTGTGTATCTTGGAACACAAGTGACATTGTGATTTAATGAAGCTTATAAAACACGGCAGACTACGGTGGGTTGGGCGTGTAGTGCGGATGCCGGAAGAACAACAAGCAAAGATTATATTCAGCAGAGAACCTGGTAGAGGTCGTCGACTCCGGGGTAGACCTAGCACACGTTGACTTTTTGCAGTTGAGGAGGACATCAGGTCGCTAAACGTTCGTGGCGATTGGAAGCGAATGGCTCAGGACCGAGTCCAGTGGAGAAGACTACTTCGTTCGGCGCAGAATCAACTAGGCGGTAAAATGCGCACTAGAACCGCTTAGTGTACAAATCGTAAAGCAGGGTGGCCACTGGTTTTACGAAATTAAATTACCTCATTTTCCCGTTTTTTTTTCAGGAGCCCATCACAGTTTTCCCGGTGTCATATAAACAGCTAATACTGATAAAAAAAAACCCACTATAATACATTTTCAGAATTATCAAAATTTATTAGCCTCCAAGGTCGACAAATACCACAAATCTTGACCCTTTTAAAAGTTTATTATCGCTGCCTACTATGCTCAAAATGACACGCAAATTTTATAATAGCCGTTTGGAATCATTAAGATTCATCTGTGTTTATTATGTTGAAAAGCAAACGTAATATTTAATTAAAAATTTAAATTTAGATCGGTGCATTACGGTATATTGAACTTGGAAACTTATCTAGAAAACAATTAGATCCACGGTGGTATCTCGGATTATGTCATTTTTCAAAGATAACATGCAATTTTTCTTAGGATTGAAATGTTTCATATTTTAATATTTATCGAGATTTAATTTACCGAACAATTAACATTTCAAATATGGTATAACTATCAAGAGCTCAGAATTTGACAAAAAAAAAATGGCCAGGAGATTTTGGATTCTGTGACTTTGAACAATTGTGTACACAACTTTAATGAGAATGTCATATGAGTTTTGTGGAGAATTGTAGAATAATTATAGAGCTAATTCTAATGAAATTCTGTGAAGAATTCCTAGGTAATTCAATTAGGAGTGCCAAATACTTTTGAGACCTATTTCAAGAAAATTGTAAGGAGAACCTAATGTGAATTCCAAGGTAGTTCTCAAGAGACTTTTATGGGGAATGTGGGGAGAATTCTAGGGAGATTCAGAAGAAAGTTCCTAGATAATTCTGAGAAAAATACAAGCGAATCTATTTCTCAGAATAGTTTTAAGGGAATTCTAGGGAATATAGATGAACTAGCCTTTGGCTAAAAATCTCTCAAATAAAGATTAAAAAAAATCTAGGGAATGAATCAAAAAAAAATTACGAAGAGGAAATTTTAAGAAATTTTCTCAATGGCATTTTGAAAACAGTTTCATGGAATTCTGAGAAACAGTTCTGATGTGAATTTCAAGGTAGTTTTGGGGCAATACTTCAGAGAAAACCTGGGGGTAATTCCAAGGACAGAAGAATCTTGAGAATAGTTGGTAGAGAATTCTCATAGGAATTAAAAAAAAAAATCAAAGGTAAACTGAGAAATTCTGAGGAGAATTCTAGGCTTTCTAACTTCTAAAGGACATACTAAAAGATGTCTGAGAAACATTCCATGGGAATTAAAATATAAAAAAATATATGCAGAGAAATTTAACCAAATTCTGATGCGAATTTTTTTAAATACACAGATTAAGGCAAAGGCAAACCAACATAATGAACAGGTAGGGGCAATTCTCCTCTACCCGATTGTGGTTTAGGTTTTCGAATGAAGGTTTCGGTTCGCGAGAAAATGGCCTTACAAGGTTTGTTTACAAAATGGAGTTAAGGCCATTTCAATTGTTGGTCTTGAATTATTGTTCTACACAGAATTTCTAGATTGTTATTGAGAACATTTTAAGGGAATACCGGAGAGAATCATAAGATTATTGAGGCAAATCTTGAATGTAGCTCTAAAGACATTTTGGTATGATCCTTAGAAATCCTTGAGAAAGTTGGGTGTATTGTTTCTTATAGTCCAATTTACAATTCTAGCAGGGAGCAAGTTAACTATTCGAAAAAAAAATTGAGGCACCCTACTGGGCAGAGAGTATGGTTGGTCTTGCCACAC